AAGGTCATAAAAATAAGGTGACCTGTGATTTCCTATACAAATACTGCCAGTATGTTTCCATAGGCAGATTTCATTTTTTTGAATTACCCCCTTAAAGGGAAATAGTCACTCCATTCTTGTGCTGGACACATATACGATTCGAGAATGGAACAACAAATTAAAGTCTGTGCAAAGCAAAGAATACTGAGTAGCAGCTCCATCTGAATCTGACCGTGCTGCCTGATTAAGTTCTTAAAGGCAGTTGGGTAAAGGGGCCCTTTCCTGATCTGATAACTGCCAGGGAGAAGCCAAATTCGGAGTCAATCTGCAAATACTTAATCCTCCAGAAGGCAGATTAAGTGTATAATTGACCTAGATAATCCATGTATCATCTCCAGTCAAATGTTCCCTGGGTCCGGTTCACAATGACACGGGGGCCTGCAGAAAGCCAGCGTCATGCAGCATCACCACCAGTGTGGATTCCATCCAAGTTTGAGATGGCTTTTTAATCACTCATCTCAGAGCCTGTGAGGTTTAAGCAGATGAATTCACCCTAAGCACATCTCTTTTAATCCTGATTTTCTTCTCAGTCTGTGTCTTCAAGAAGTACAAGGAGGAAAGAAAATAAATTAATTTTTGTTTAGACCTTGAAAATCTTAGGTGCTTCTATTGATGATCTGATCTCTCATTTCAAAAAGCATGTTTTTGTTTTGGGGAAGATGTTGAATTAATCACTAGAGAAGGCGGGGGTGGGGGGGTGGGGTGGGGGGTGGAGTGCAGGAAGCCATCTGCATGATTTATAGATACTCCAACTTGAAATCGCTATCTTCGAGTTATTTCTTGAGCTTGTGATTTTCTCCTTAGCTGCTGCTGCAGGAACATGGAGATTATTTCATATCCATGTTTTATATTTTCTTTAAAAATCAGCAATAATTGCCGAGGAGGGCAAGGTTCCCCTTGAGACTGACAGCAATCTGATTTCCTTTTAAAAATTCACCACTTTAATATAATTTCAATTCATTGTTATTGTACATATTGGAATATTCTCTTGATTTAAATCTCTGAATATTTTGTTTCTAAATAGAAGAAACTTACTTTGCAACAAGTGAGAACAGTATGCAACTATTCTTCATATATGATTTTTAGAAAAAATATAGATTAAAAAAATGTACATCTAAAATATCGTGGGTAACAGTTTGGAGATTCTTTTCTAATCAGTACTTTATTTTGGATTGGTTAGGTCCCATTTAAAGTTCATTATCAAAAAAAAGTATTGTTAATGTTTTATGGAAAGACTAATACAAACCAATTAGATCAATAAACAAGGAAACTTTTGTTGCAGGAAAATAATCTGGTAATGCAATATTATGTCCAAATGTATTTTCTCCAATAAAGCTAGAGTATGCTTGGTTTTAAAAAAATTTTTGGTAAGATGAATTTGGAAAGCCTATTCTTACGTTACATAATAAAATAAAAATGCAGAACATCCCAAATAGAGCCCTGAATGCTATGCCGATAATCTTCCCCAAGCACCCTTTTCTAGCCACAAGTACAAAGATGAGGCAGAGGAAGTGAGTTCATGATTACTGGATGGGGGGGCCTCGCTAAAACAGAACATGCACCGTTAAGTGACCAGCTATTATGCAGAATATTCCCAGATACAAACACACACACTAAAGCCATCCAGCCTTTTCTCCAAGGGCACACTCAATTGTGCAAAAAAGGAAACAATCCAAATAGCAAGAACTCAAGGGATTTACCAGGTAAATAAAACTGAGACGTGAAACTCAGTTCAAAACACAACAGGAACTCTTAGAACATGCCTCTGAATGACAGATGCCAGCAGAACAGAACCTGGGAATGACACCACAGAACCAACACCCCCCCAACAGCAAACAATCTTAGAGAGAGACGAGATATATATATATATATATATATTTTTTTTTTCCCCTTCATTCAAAATGCTAATTTGCTATTATTCATTTTTGCCATTTATCAAAATGCAACAATTTGGAAGCAAAACCTCCCAGATCAACAAGTCTTTCTCAAAAGGTTTCTGCCAATTGTTTATAGGACCACCATTGTGAAGTTTAAAGAATAAGTTCGTTGCAGCCAGAAACATAGGGCAGCAGCTTTCAGGCCCCTTCTGCCTTGATGTTCCCACCCTCTTGTTTAGCTCGGTGGACAGGAGTCTCAAAGAGCATCTATGCAAAGAAATAAACAGGATGCTTGAGGAAACAGAAGCCAAAAATAATCAAACATGTTGGTAATCTGATGTTTTGCTGCTAGATTATAGAAAAACAGTAAGTACTGAATTAAATTACCGAGGCTGCATGGTAATGAAGCTTTTTGAGAAGCTCTGGGTTTTGAAAATGACAAATGTTTTAAATCCCTGACAGATTCAATAACTTTTTTTGCACGACATCAGTTAGGTTGCCTAGCACCAATATATTCTGTAAATTAGGGGATCAGGTTATTATTTGGAAAGGAGAAAAGTAAATGGCCAAGAAATTTATATCTAAATAAGCTCCTGAAAATAAAAAAAATGACTCTCCATGGGGTTGGGAGAGATATGAAGTCAATGGTCAGATTGGCTCAGCCTTTAAAATCACTAGGGACTCCATTGGGAAAACAAAATTGGGACAATAAGAAGGTCAATTGTTCCCAGGCTGTTGCTCATGCAGTGGAATATGTGGAAGAATCAGAGACACTTGTGAATTCCTGAATGACCCTGAACATAACTGGCTCTCTGAAAAGCATCTTCTTAGTAATATTTCTTTCAGTTATCCATTCACAGTCATGCCCAGGGGGTGGAAATGGGCCTGCATGTGCCCACAGTTAGGCATGCCCACTTTCCCCTTCTGTATCTGCTGCCAAGGCTGGACTCTTTACTTTTTTGCATCAAAAGTGGGTTGTCCCTTTCTTTAAAAAGAGCCCCCAAAGAGATCATTTACCTTGCTGGTTTTTTGCAAGACTACCTTTAAAAAGTTCTTTTCCCCTCTTCTACTTTGAAATTTAAAACAAAACAAAAAAGAAAAAAAAAAAAGAAAGAAAAAGAGGGGATTATTTCATATCCATGAAGTGACAGGTTAAACTGCAGACGAAGCCTCCAATTCAGTACTAGGTGTTTTTGAAGTTCCAGCGAGATCATGGCACACACGCTCGTGCGGGGACATGCACTCATGCGCATACACACGCGCGCACGCATACAAGGGTGCACACGCATACGCGGGCCACACAAAACCGAGAATCAGAAGATAACCGATCAAAGGAAAAGAAAAGAAAAGAAAAGAAAAAAAAGGCAACCTAGGCATTGAAAAGAACAATCCACAGGCTTCTTGAAAATTTGTGGTTTGGAATTGAATTCAGTGGAGAGGGGAAGAGTGTCCACACTCCTATCTGCAGACCCCGAGGGTGCTGCCTGTCTGTTTTCAATGCCTATGGGAGGGGGGGATTGTGCCCCAGATATATTAGGCTCAGGACTTTGATAAAGGCGCATATGCAGAGAAGGGAGAGGACCCGCTGGTGAGCTTTATGTATGTATGAGGCATTCTCAGTGGATGTGGGTCATGGTAGAAGATGTACACAGGAAGATTATTTGATTCTAATTCATGCCACTTGATATAATGTGATAAAACATTTGACATGAGAGATAAGTTCCATTTTAATCCAAGAGAGGACGAGTGGGAATTAAAAAGTAAGAAGGGTTTTGTGGTGCAGGAAGGTGATGCGGGGGAGAGGGGTATGGAACACAGAGAGGGGACGACTGGGAAAAGGGGAGAAAAAAAAGAGAGAGAGAGAAGCCTTTTCAACACACTAGGAAAGCAAATGAGCTGGAAGACAAAGCATTTAAAAGTCAGAAGCTGCAGAATCCGAAAGCGGTGCCAACAATGAGCTCACTTAGCTATGGAACAAAAACACACGCGCGCACACACACACACACACGCACACACACAAAAAAACTCAGTGTAAATTGGTGAACACAATCACAGAAAAAATATAGAAACAAGGATTCCATAATAGACCAAAACATTAATGTTCGGGCTGGCACTAAAAAATACAAGAAACCTGGACAGGAGGAGCTCACGTTTCACGAGACAGAAGTAGTCTGCACAATTAGAGCCACACGGAGACAAGGACATTGGCTTCCATGCACTCTGGCCGGGTCTCCACTGGCAAGTTGTGGGGAAATGGGAAGCAAAATACCTGGCTATATTAAGCAACCCCATCTGTTTTGGTCTGAAAGAGGCAAGCAATTTGAGACCAAAGCAGATTCTTTTTTTTTTTTTCTTTTCTTTTTCTTTTTGCCTTGGTGGCTTGCTTTGCTGTGCAGATGTAGTCACAGTGGAAATAAGAAATCTGAAGTTTGACCTGGGTCTGGCAGCCCAGCGTATTCACTTTGGAATACCTGCTTCTTCATGCATTTTTTTTCAGGTGAGTGGGTGGGGGCAGAGCACCACTGCTCAGACAGGCACCTGGCCCATTCACTCTCACCCAAACCCTGGCTTGATTTCTGAAAAGAGCAGGAAAAAGTGCTAATATCAATCCTACCAGTTTGCCAAAACCCAGGGCTAAGGATTTCTGGTCTTGTAGAAATAAAATCATCTTTGAAGCCATAATAATGTGACATTTACTGCACATCTGCACATCTGCATGCCATCCTGCTGCTGGAGGTAGCCTCCCTCCCCCAGCCTCCCTCATGTGAGGCCAGATTGCAAGGAGGAAGACCTGGTCTTTGCCAGTTACAGAATGCTGCCTCACAAGCTCCGTGCGGGGACGCACCTGCGTGCTGTCCTACGTGTAACACACAGCCTTGGGACAGAGACACTGCCACACCAGGGGTGGGTTCAGAACAGACACACGACAGATAGGCGCCTAAGGCAGAGGAAGAGGAAAAGATTTTGCTTGAAATCAGGAGCAATCCATTTTCTCAAAATGTGACTTATCCTCCTGTCTCTTATTTTGTCACATTTTGGAGGGTCTCCTCCTTGGTCTTCAAGGAGGAGAAGGCATTTACTTACATCAAATAACCTTTCTATATACATCTCCTCATTGACCTTATCACGCAGGACATCCTGAGAGTGGCGGACGAAAGTCACGTAGGCGTCGGCCACATCCATTCCAGGTTTCTGCAAAGAAACAGGAAAACATGAAAATGGGATTTGCAGACAGTGACTCTTCAGGGATGACCCATTTGTCCTGGCTCCCACCCGCAGCCCCTCCTATCCTCTGCACTGTTTTGGCGGGATCAGGTTTGCAGCACACAGCCCGGACTGGTAGGAATTGATATTAGCCCTTCCTGTTCTTTTCAGAAATCAAGCCAGGCAAAGAGGAGAGTTGGAATTGCAGATTTTTTTTTCCCTATCGTTAATTCTTTTTTTGTTTTCTGGCAATTTTATCTAATGGATGAATCTTCACTGTATCTTCACCAGAAATATTCTCTGGCTTTCCATTGAAACCCCTGTGATGCATATGGATATTCTTTATTATCTGTCTCCTTTTCCTCTTAAAAAAGAAAACTATAATCAGGGGCTGGGGTTGTGGCTTAGCGGTAGAGCACTTGCCTAGCACGTGCCAGGCCCTGAGTTCGATCCTCAGCACCACATATAAATAAGTAAATAAGGGTATTGTGTCCAACTATAACTAAAACATAAATATTTTTTTTTTAAAAAAGAAAGAAAACTATAACTCTTCCTGCCCAATTCCCATTTTGGGGAATAGTTTAACCTGAGTATATAGAGTGAGAATTTGCTAATTAGTTTACAAAGTGGAGACATTAGTTTTTCTTTTCTAATGTAGCCTTAAAGTTGAAGATTAAAAAAAAAATCCCAAGAATCATAGCAAGCTAGTGGAGGAGGGGAAGAGTTTTAAATAAATTAGATTTTCTGGAAAGGTAAGCAGGTGGTTCATTCTTCAGGCAATGACTTACTGTAAGGAATTAAAGAAAAAAAAAATCTCAGGATGTACACCGCTTGAGATGTCAAAATCAAAGTTATCTCCAAAGAAACCTATTAAAACACTGTAATATGGGTCATTAGCACAACTGCCACAAACCCCTTAAATTTCCACAATAGATATGTATGTTTGCTAATAACTAAAAAGATTAGTTTTCATTACTGTGATTTACCTTAGATCACAAAGTATCATTTCTCTACAAGACGGGGACTGTCAGGCACTGCAAATTGAAGTTAGTTAACACTTCTGTGTAATTTCCAGGGTGAAAATGAGGAAGGTTTGGAAACAGTAGGACTGTATATTTTTTTCCCCCTCATACAAAGCAAACAATTATCAAGCAAAGGGCCAATCCCTGGCCCCCGGGATGCTAGTAACATTTCTTAACACCCGCTGAAACAATGACAAGGTATTAATTTGAAAAACAATGAGGACAACCCAAAGCCACAGTAGTCAAGTGTTACACTTTCAAGCAATTTTCAGCAAATGGATTGAGCAGGGTCCATGATGGTCCTATAATTGTTGCAGTTTTATGATACGAAACAATAGCGGTTCTCCAATGAGACGTGTCAGCTTATCAATTCCAAACTGGCACCTCTCCCCTCTCTCTTTGGCAGCCGCACATCAAAGGACATTCTTGGTAGGGATGGGGACCCCTACCTGGGGGACTTGAGAAACTTATTATTATTGTTTCCATTTCTTCCCTTGTGATACTTGTGGCAGATGCAGCCTTTTCCTGGGTGCACGCAGCCATCTTAGAGCTAAGATCCAAAGCCAAGTTCAGCAGATCTGTCAGGAACCCATGATGTTACAGACAGACATCTAGAAGGATGCTATTTTCATCATTCCTTCTTTCAACAAGGCTTACTGTCCTCACAGGGGCATTTCATTTAAGTTTTAAAAAAGCTCTGATTTAAAAAAAAATTAGTTTGATTCATCTCACCCAGGTAGTTAAGAAGCTCTGTTGACTCTTATTTTTTTTTTAAATATTTTTTAAAATCAATAGCTTAACATTGTACTGTATATTTATTTGATTGTTTTTTGTCTGTCTTCTCCCACCAAACATAAGATACATGAATAAAGGACCATTGATCTGTTTTCTGTTGTACCTCCAGCTCACAGAATAGTGCCTGGCACATAGTAGGTGCTCAGTAAATAATTGCAGAGTGAAAAAATCTATGAATGAATGAGCAAGTCCTACCTCTACCTCCTTTTCAAAGCTCTTCAGGCACACTGTATGGATTATTACTGAATCCACCTCCTTCTCCCTCCCAAAAAACCTTGAAATTTATGCAAATCATTAGACTTCTCTGGGCCTCAGTTATGCCACCTGTAAAATGGGACTAATAACAGGTTCCTGACTTACCTTCAAGGATTGTTATGATCATCAGCTAAAATAATGTATATGAAATTGTCTCAAAAGCCATAAATTGCAATGTCAACATCAGCCCCTGACTCCCCTTCCTGATATTATATCACACCAGGGCCCTATCTACTTCTTCAATCTACTTGAGACCCAAGATGTAAAAAGGGTCCTCAGTGGATCTGTGTCAAGATGAAAATAATAAAGTCTCTGCACAAAATGTGTACTTCTCTTATCATAGTCCTCAGACTTTCACTCCCAACGACCTTCCTTTTAAGCCAGCTTCATATTCAATTCCAATGAGTTTTGTTTGTCATCCCTTGATGGGCCAGGAATGGGGCATGGGGAGATGGTGGAACCCAGGCGTGCTGGTAAGAAGGCCCTGTCCTTTGCCCTGGTGTGCCAAGCATGAGGGACGAGGCTGCCAGACTGCACCCTGAGACATAAAGACTCACTAATTGCTGGGGTCTGGAACAAAAGGGGACGGGGTGAGCTGGCCCTGCGCCATTGGGCCATTGAGGAAAGATTAAATGATAGTTCCCTGGTCAAAAACCCAGGGATAGGTGCCGTGGTACATGCCTGGAATCCCAGCAGCTCAGGAGGCTGAGGCAGGAGGATCGTTCAAAGTCAGCCTCAGCAACTTTTAGCAAGGCCCTAAGCAATTTAGTGAGAACCTATCTCTAAATAAAATATTTTTAAAAACGGCTGGGGATGTGGCTCTGTGGTTAAGTGCCCCTGAGTTCAATCCCTGATACCAAAAAACAAAAACCAAAAACACCTCGAAAAAAACAAAAAACAAAAACAAAAAAACCACACAGGGATAAAAATGCAGAAACGATGTATAATACATTTTAAGTAGATTTCCAATCAAAACAAAATCTAAACTGTTGACACACAATAAGCTGAAAAGTAGTTACAATTGAAAAATAAACTTGACTGGAAAACTGATACCATTAGATAAATTAAGCTTTATATTACATTGCTGTTCATACACAGTCGGATCAACTTTTAAGAGACAGCTTATAAATGTGGCTTGGACAGAATCAGAATCTGACATAATTTTTAGAAAATATTTAAATACAATAAATCTATATCTGTTCAATTAACACCACCACGTGTGGAAGACATGATTCATGAATAAGTGATTCTGTGGCTTAGGAAAAATGGGACATTTCAACTTAGCTAGCCCCCATTGGGATACGTCTGAGCATGGGGAAAACAAACCCAAATTTTCAGCATCCCAAGCAAGCCCTGAGGATGAATGCAAATCTGCTACATATACCGAAAGGTTGAATCTTATATCTAAGACACAGAGGGATGCTTTGGGGATTATGCAATGGTTGGAATGACTGGTAGCAGTTCTTCTTTCCACTAGTGGGGATAATTAAGAGGCAAATCTCTAAAGTAACTGCTACTCCCTACACAGAACTCAACTAATAAATGATGTGCCAGAAACCTCATTGGGTGACACAGATGAACTCAGACTTTGGACCACGACTTGAGAAATGATTGTACCCAATAGTTCTTCTTCTTCTTCTCTTTCTCTCTCTCTTTTTGGTACCGGGGATTGAACTCAGGGGCATCTAACTACTGAGCCACATCCCCAGCCCTTTCTATTTTTCCTCTTTTGATAGATCTTGCTAAATTGCTTAGGGCCTCCATAAGTTGTTGAGGCTGGCCTCAAGCTTGCAATCCTCCTGCCTCAACATCCCAAGTTGCTGAGATTATAGGCATGTGCCACCATGCTTGGCTTTGTATCCAATGGTACTTAAACCTGGCTGCAAACGAGAAGGATCTAGAAGCTTTATAAACACTGATTGCCTGTGGCCCCACCTCTACCCACTGCCCAGAGATTCTGTTTTAACATGTCTGGCAAGGAACCTGGGCAGTAATACTTATAAAAGCTCTCCAGATGTTTCCATGACACAGCCAAGGTAAAAATATCACTGATTTATCCATTGGTTTCCAAATTTGTATCATGTATCAGATGAACATGAAGATCTTTTTAGAAAGAGATTTCCAGGCTCCCCTCCAGAACTACTGAATCAGAATTTCTAGAGGTGAAGTCTGGGAATCCCAATTAAAAAATGAGCAAAGAAACAAAACAAAACAAAACAAAACAAAAAAAAAAAAAGAAAAAAAAGAGAAAAAATCTTTACAAGTTTAACTGCTGCATATTCTGGTTTGGGGGCTGCTGGTGATAGCCAGTGCTTATGAACAGGCTCTCAGAAAAAACAAAACAACAACAACAAAATTAGATAAACAAGCTCCAATTTGTAGGGTCTGCCAATTCCCATGGTGTAAACGATCCTATTAAAGTTGATTGGGAGCTACCAGACCACTGTCACTGAAGGCTGAGTTGGAGTGAAACATGTACTATTATCTCTTAGGAGCTAATGTTGAAGACTCTGCCATATCTCTGTAAGCTCAGGCTCTACAGTCAAATTGAGAGCCTGTATTTTTTTTATTTTATTTCTTCCCTTGGTGCTGGGGATTAAACCCAGAGCCCTGTTCACATGAAGCAAGCTATTGCACCACTGAGCTACACCCACAAGTCCTGTCCCTGGATCTCTACTCCCTACTGACTTGCCTGGTGAACTTGGGCATGCTACTTAACCTCTCTGTCTCAGTTTCCTCATCTGTAAAACAGGATGAAATTAATTAATCCTCATAGGATTGTTTTCAGAAATAAATGATAATTATTTACTACATGTAAACAATACTGGGCACAGTGGCGCACACCTTTCATCCCAGCGGATCAGGAGGCTGAGATAGGAGGATCGCAGGTTCAAAGCCAGCCTTAGCAACCAGGAGGCACTAAGCAACTCAGTGAGACCCTGTCTCTAAACAGGATATGAAAAAGGGCTGGGGATGTGGCTCAGTGGTCAAGTGCCCCTGAGTTTAATTCCCGGTATTAAAATTCACCCCACAAAACAAAATAACAACAACAACAACAACAAAAAACTATGTACGTATTGTCTATGTGTGGATTGTACACTACTATTTTCCATAAAATGATTATTTATTCATCAGACACATTAAAATATGATGAACTATAAAAGTACACATTGTTGAACTTAATTTTAAACTTTAACATTGTTCCTAAGCCAGTAATAACTGGTGCAGTCGTGAGTCTTATGTGCTAATCACATTTTCTGATACTAAAATCATGACTCAACTATGCAAATAAAGATGGATGTCTATGTGCTAAAATCATCTTTCAGCAGGACATAGTGCTTAAGATCATTGCTTTAAATCTTACCTCTGTTGTTTACCGGCTGTGCTGCTTGGAGCAATTTAACATTTCTGGGCCTCAGTTTCCTCATCTTTAAAGTGGGGCACTTGTGAAGACTAAGTGGTAGTAGTTATAGGTACCTTAATTACTTTGTTCATCTTCAATGGCAAATATATCACATTTGGGGACATACTGAGTGATTCATTTTTTTTCTTCCATAGAGTGCAGAAACTGATAATTATCTCTCTTTAAAAAAGAAAAAAGTTGTAGATGGATACAATACCTTTATTTTATTTACTTATTTCTATGTGGTGCTGAGGATCCAACCCAGTGCCTCACACATGCTAGGCAAGAGCTCTACCACTGAGCCACAGCCCCAGCCCTCTGAAAATTCTCTTTTGATCTTTCCTATCCTAACAAGACTTTGAATACACAAATGACTAAATAACTAAGATCTGAACACTTTCATATTAATATAGAGTCCATTTTACCCCCTTCTTCACAATAAATATGAATCTGGCTTGCAAGAATTATTAAGCTGAGTGCACGCCTGTCAATCCAGTGGCTTAGGAGTCTGAGGAAGGAGGATTGCACGTTCAAGGCTAGCCTCAGCAACTTATTGAGGCCCTAAGTGACTTAGTGAGACCCTGTCTCAAAATAAAATATAAAAAAGGGCTGGGGCTGTGACTCAATGTCTAAGTACACCTGGTTCAAACCCTGGTATTAAAGAAGAAGAAGAAGAAGAAGAAGAAGAAGAAGAAGAAGAAGAAGAGGAAGAGGAAGAGGAAGAGGAAGAGGAAGAGGAAGAGGAAGAGGAAGAAGGAGAAGGAGAAGGAGAAGGAGAAGGAGAAGAAGAAGAAGAAGAAGAAGAGGAAGAAGAAGAAGAAGAAAAAGAATTCTTATATTGAGCCATTAAAAATTGCTGATCTTGATCTTCCTTCGACTTCTCTAAAATGCCATTCTCATGTGGTTCAACCTAACAGCTTGGTAACACCAATGGCTAGATCAAATCTCTCCATGTATGGGCCTTGTCTATGGGGTCACCCAGCCAGACCTCCATGTGGAGATCTCTCCTCTGCTTTGAGGGCTACAGAAAACAGACTGACAAGCCAGATCTTTGTACTGGGAGATGAGAATTTCAATCTCGGTCACTGGTGAAGACCGGGGAGGGCAGGGCTGATGCCAGCCGTTCATCCTGACTTGCGCTTTCCACATTGATACCATTGCATGCCCTTCTCTGATGACCTGTCTGCTGAGTGCCAGGTCAGGTGCTTCCTGTTCTGCATTGAATTTGGTATTAGTATCTCCATTTTAAAGATGGAGAACCAGGGCCAGAAACTCCCCATGAAGCCAAAGTTTATACTTTAGGGCTTGACAAAGCCATTTGCCTAACTTCTTTGCTGTGGTTTTGTGAGCTTTTTCTATTCTCCATTCTTCTGCCTACACGAAGGAGTCTGAGGTCCCTTGATGAGAAGTATTATATGAATTCAAAGCATAATTATTGATTGCACATTCTTTCATTAAACAAACAAAATATATGCTAATGCTAAATTCACTCCAATTTTCCATTTTGTCTTCCTTAGAGGAATAAGCCAATAAACCATTACACACTTAGCTTCCTGGGGAAATGAATTTAAATGTTAATATAAATCCTTTTAGAAAAAAACAAATTTTAACAAATAAGTATTTGAACAAGGAGGGTACTTAACCACGTTCAGAATGAGAAATGCTCAGTACAAGACCCTTGGTGGCTGTTGAGATAAGCTCTCTAAATTTAATATTTTATAATAGACTCACACCTCTTTTGTTAGAAATGGAGAAACAGAATCATTTTCTTCCCTCCTTTATTGGAATATATTTAAATCTCTCCAATTTTATTTTGCTAATAGGCAGGGCAAAGTCTGTCTATAAATGTACCCTGGTTTATCACAGGTAATCCCATACTTTTTAGCATTCATGTATAGTACTTAACCTCAATTTAAATGTAAATTTTGGGCAACTTGGAGTGCTTTATCTGTGAACTTTGAGGGCTCTCGCCATTAATGAGGCCTGCACTAATTATAAGCAGTTTTTGTAAGGTTTCCTTAAAACAACTGCAGAACTGACCTCCAAATGAACAAATTCAGAATTTATTTGCTTTAAAAAAGATACTGTTTGGCCTGGGGTTGTGGCGCGGTGGTAGAGCACTTGCCTAGCATGTGTGAGGCACTGGGTTCCATCCTCAGCAACAGATAAAAATAAATAAATGAAATAAAGGCATGCTGTCTGCCTACAGCTAAAATATATATATTTACTGTATACATATTATATATATAACTAATATATATTGTTTAATATATACATATATAAAAAAAGATACTGGTACTCTTGTGCAAATTTCTAGCTCAGAGCTCTACTCTTAAGATGTTTATGTAAGGGGTGGGGGTGAGCAGGATGGAAACAGAAAGAAAAGGACCAGAGAAATCAAGAAAAAGACAAGTGAAAGTGAGCTAGGTTTACCCTGCAGCTGGAACACTCTCTTCCTGGTGAAGGAAACCATACGCTGGTCTGAAAAAAGATCCTACTAACGAAAGGGTCTTGACTTCTCTCTTTCTGATGATCAAGTGGGGAATATACAGTTTAGCAGCAAGTAATGAACAGCACCAACAAAGCAAAGTCAAAACAAGAAAAAAAAAATCAGACAATACAACAAACCCACGAAAAGCAATTTTCAAATACTCACAGGTACGTCCACATATTTGGAAGCTGCCTTCACCTAAGGAGGAAAGAAGAATGGCTCGGTGAGGCAGGTGTTTATGTTTAATATTTTTGTTCACAGATCAAGTTCAAACAACACGCAGGCACGCAGCACAGACCAGGGAAAACAAAAAGGTATGAAAAGATAAAATGTTTGCTACTAAAAAATAAAAAAAAATTGGGCTGGGGATGTGGCTCAAGTGGTAGCGGGCTTGCCTGGCATGCGCAGGGCGCTGGGTTTGATCCTCAGCACCAGATAAAAATAAAGATGTTGTGTCCACCGAGAACTAAAAAATAAATATAAAAAAAATAAAAAAATAAAAAAAAATCCCTAGACACTGCTTTGGAGGGAGAGAGAGAGAGAGAGAGAGAGAGAGAGAGAGAGAGAGAGAGAGAGAAAGAGCACACAATTTTACTGATTCAGATTCTGGGGCTGGGTGTGGGTGATTTGCATTTTCCCCCATCTTTATTTTTTTTTCCTTTTTTTTTCTTTCTTTTTGTGGTTGGTACTAAGGATGGAACCCAGGGGCACTTTACCACTGAGCCACATCCGCAGCCCTTCTGTATTTTTCATTATGACATAGGGTCTCGCTAAGTAGCTTAGGGCCTCACTAAGTTGAGAAAGCTGGCCTCCAACTTGTGATCCTCCTGCCTCAGCCTCTTGGGTTGCTGAGATTACAGGTGTGCACCACCTATCTTTAAAAAGAAGAAAAATGACTCTAGCTAAACCCAAACGGATGGATAGAGGGTTCACTAGTCTAGAGAAGCAACTAAGATAACTGGCACTTCTTTCACCTTGGGCCTTGGTGTAATTTGGCTGCAGGTTGCCTGGATTGAATCTGTCAGTTCTCAGTGTCTATTAACCTAGATCTTCAAGAGGAGGGAATGCAATGGGGTGAGTGAAGGACCCAGAGGGACATGGTGTCTGAGGGCCAGGTACCAGAGCCTTTCAAAACTGTCCCAAAAGCTGCTATTATGCCTCATTCTGGTTTTAGGTGCTAAAACAAAACAACCAAACCAAACCAAACAAAAAACAGGTGGAAAGTTCAGGAAGTGGCTCTGTAACTCAGTTTTAGTTTTGGGAGTGCATGTGGTAGAGAGTAACGTTTGGACATAGAGTTTGGAGTCAGACCTGGGTTCAAATCCAGCTCTACTGGGAACGGTGTAATCTTGGACAGGTTATTTCATCTCTCTGAACCTTACTGGCCTCATCTGCAAAATGGAGATACTAATAATACCTCTCTCCGGGGTTGGTGAACGGGGAAGTGCATATAAAGTCTTGGGATATGGTGCCTGGGATACACTGTCACTAAGGATTCATAGACACACATGGGTGAGAGGCTGAGGAACTGCTAGGTTTGAGGGAGCATGTTTGATATTCTGTGTGTCTCCGTGTGGCATGGAGGGACTGTGTTTCTGGTCAGAGAGCATTTCTAGTTTTACCAGAAACTTCAGAGACTGCCAAGGGCACAGGGTAGTCTGAATATCTGCTGACGTTTCAGGGAGGTTTGTTTTTTACCATTTGGTTGAGATCAATATCAGTCTTCATAGCCCTCATCCAAATGTGTTCCAGAAAGTCACCCCGAGGAGTCCTATCCTCGCCCCTTTTCCCAGTGTGCCTTTCCAAACTTTCAACTCCCCCCTGATGGCAGATAATGAAGCCCCAAGAAAGAGTCCAAAACCGAGTGTCAAAATTTTGGTAAGTGTCCCAGCCAGTTGACCCTGGGGAAACCGTGTCAAGTTCATTAGCCTCGATGAGATTTCTAGAATAGGATAATAAAACCGTACTTTGTACGGCTTATACTGTAATCAAGTGAGAGAATATGGGAGAAAGTGCTTAGTAAACTTTAAAGTTGGTGGAGGGGGAGAATTCTTGTCAGCACCCAAATCATTCCTGTTTTGTTTGGTTTAAGATTCTCTAAGAAACCTACTCCTTTTTCCCCTCTCTCTTTCTTTCTTGTACCAGGCATTGAATCTGGGGGTACTTAACCACTGAGCCCCATCCCCAGGCCTTTTTATATTTTATTTAGAGATAGGGTCTCACTCAGTTACTTAGAATCTCACTAAGTTGCTGAGGCTGGCTTTGAACTCACAATCCTCCTGCCTCAGGCTCCCAAGCTGCAGGGATTACAGGTGTGGGCCACTGTGCCGGGCTCTACCCTTGTTCTTTGTAGCACCAATTACAATTGCAATTCGGTACCTTTTCTTGCATGTGTGCCACCTGCAAAATGTCATGAGAGCAAAAGTTATATCAGTCTTGCAAACAACTGTCTCCCTGTGACTCATGGGCTACCTGACTTTGAAAGGAAACTCAGGGAAAATCTGGGAAGGGAGGGACTGAGAGAAAGCCTGTGGCCAGTTCTGGCTTCAAGGTGCTTGCGAAAAAAGCAGAGGAAAAGACCAGATTGGTCAACCTGAAAACCAACATAGCTAATTGAAAGCCTGCCAGGGTTGGTGGGAGAAGGAAACTGTCCTTGTGGCCTTTAGAGGGATTTCAGGAAAGCTTTCCAGATTTGGTGTGATTACCATTTGTACTAAAGGATTCCTCATCCTAAATCTGTCCTCTCCATGACTCTTCCAAAATCGAGTCCAGGCAAGAAGGTGGCTTGTCTTTTTTTTTTTTTTTTTTTGGTACCAGGGCTTGAACTCAGGGGCACTCAACCACTGAGCCACATCCCCAGACCTTTTTTGTAGTTTGTTAGGTAGAGACAGGCTCTCACTAGTTGCTTAGTGCCTTGCTTTTTGCTGAGGCTGGCTTTGAACTTGTGATCCTCCTTCCTCAGCCTCCAGAGCCTCTGGGATTACAGCCGGGCCTTGTTTCTGTCTTTCTCAGGTTCAGTACTATCACTTTGCACCACGCAGGACTCTTTCACAGAATTTCTTCTTTAAGCCATCAAGGGAAATGGGGGCTAGCAATCAAATCCAATTACAAGGAAACCAACTAAAATGCCTAGAATTTAAGAATTGGGTTTTCTCATGCTCTCTGCCAAGAGGCAAAGAAGTCTGGACTCCTAGGGGATCACCAGAGCCCGAATTCCTCCCTGGGATCTCCCGATGGCCTCATCGCTAGCGGAAAAGCTGGAGGGATTCAAGCATGGCTGGTCAGAGCGGGCGCTGGCAAGAGTTGTTCTCAGCTAGAAACTCCCTCCTTTGCTCTGTCAAGTTGATGCTTGGCAGTTGGTGGGAGTTTTGCTACAGTTGAAATGATCAACCTTTAAATACGCCTACTCTCCTCTTACCACGCACATGCGGTTCCAATCCAGAGAGGGACACCAGTCAAATCCGTTTCCTCTCGGGGAAGACAAGGCAAGCTCCTGTCGTGAATGCAAACCTGGGGCTCTGTGACTGGGACCAGCCTTCTGTCCCTTAGGCTCATCTTTATTTGACAGCAACGGACTTGCACTTAGTCTTAATGATCTTCCTTGCTTCCCCAAAGCAGGGGAAATTGTAGCCCCCTTTTATTATTATTACTTTATCTTTTTGTACTTAACCACTGAGCCTGAGCCCCCCCCCCCCTTTTTTTTAGATACAGGGTCTCATTGAGTTATTTAGAGCCTCCCTAAGTTGCTGAGGCTGGCTTTGAACTCACCATCCTCCTGCGCTGCTGGGATTACAGGTGTGCGCCACTGTGCCAGGCCCTGTGACCCTGTTGTTATTTAGGAGCAGGTGTAGTACATCATTTTTGGTTCTGGCATTAAATTCTTAAAAAAATTATAGTTGTAGATACACAACATGCCTTTATTTTAGTAATTTATTTTTATGTGGTACTAGGGAACGAACCCAGTGCCTCATACATTCTAGGCAAGCACTCTGCCACGGAGCTACAGTCCCAACCTCCTAGCTATTGAATTTTAGGAAGGATACCAATGATGAGGATGATAAAGAATATTCTGAGCCAGGTGTGGTGGTGCACATCTGTAATCCCAGCACTCAGGAGGCTGAGACAGGAGGATCCCAAGTTCAAAGCCAGCCTCAGCAACTTATCAAGGCTCTAAGCATCTCAGTGAGATCCTGTCTCTAAATAAAATATAAAAAAGGGCTGGTGATGTGGCTCAGTGGTTAAACGCCCCTGAGTTCAATCCCAGGTACAAAAAAAAAAAAAGAATATTCTGGAAGTGTGTTCTATGAGGACAGTGAAGGGGCAGGCATCTTGCCTGAAAAAGGAAGAGCTAATGGCAGAGAAAGAGATTCAAGGGCTGGGGTTGTGGCTCAGTGGTACAGCACTTGCCTAGCACGTGTGAGGCACCGAGTTCAATCCTCAGCACCACAAAAAATAAAATATGTGTCCATCTATAACTAAAAAATAAACATTAAAAAAATAAAGTTAAAAAAAACCCCACAAAATTAACTTCCATAGGAAAAAAAAGAAAGAAAGAGATTCAAGGTAGGATTGAACTACACTGAAGTCATGGTGTTCCCGAGCACTGAATCAGGAACAGTGAGTAAAGTTACAAGACCCAGAAGAGGATGCAAACACAGCCCCACACAGTTCTGGCAGGAAATGGCCACCTCTGCTGGTCCAGCCCTCCCGCTCCTGGTGAGAAAGGATGTCCTACACGTGGCTCTTTCCTATGTGAAAGGCCCATCTCAGTCTGTCTCCTGCTTCTGATTTCAGCCTCCTCCTGAGCTCGGAAGTGGTCATCAGTTCTACTTTTTGTTGTAATTGGCTTTTTTTTTTTTTTTGCAATTGAGTTGTAGCATAGTGAAGAAAAAATTGACAGAATTTTGGTCCCTTTGAACCCTTTCCTGTATAATGCCAGCAGCTCCCCATAAGCATCATCTGTTATACCTTTTGGCCGGCTACATTCTAAGTAGAAAAGAGTGACCAGATCCTTCCCAGGCCCTAGAGCTCTGAAGTTATTGCCAGAAAAATCTAAACATGTACCAGGTACCATGTCTATCAGGGTCTCACTGAGTTGCTTAGGGCCTCGCTAAGTTGCTGAGGCTGGCTTTGAACTCGCCATCCTTCTGCCTCAGCCTCCCTGGCCACAGCGATTACAGGAGTATGCTACTTTATTT